CAGAAAACGTCGAGCGGGCAGTGGTATCGGTATCCCTGAAGGGGCCCAAGGACACACAAATAAATACACACAAATAAAAATGTCCCCCATATTTTCCCATATTTTGTGGGTTTCTGTTTTCCCCCCCACTTCCCATATTTTCCCATATTTTATGGGGAATCGAGGATTAATTGGGTCTGTGCGTTTTTTTCCCTCCTGAAACATGCCCGACAGCCTCAGAAAACGTCGAGCGGGCAGCGGTATCGGTATCCCCTCCTCCTCTGCTCGCCGGCGGGCCCGCGCGCCGTCCTCGGACAACCGGCTGCGCTGCCAGGCGCCGGGCGTGCCTCGAGGGACCACAAGCGGCACAAGCAGAGAGTGGAAGTCGGGCGTGTCCTCCTACACGCGGATCTTGGATGAATAATTAAACATAGACCAGAAAAAACAGAAATGGCAAAAAAATCGAGAATCCGTCCCCAGACGATGTTCTGGCTATGTGTGAATACTCCTCCTGTAGAGAGACAGGCCCGACTCAACATGAGCATGCATTTAGGTCGGGCATGTCCCTCTACAGGCGGATTTTCGACGAAAAAACACATTCACAAATAACCACGAATGGTTAAAAATAACCAAAATAAAATCGTCCCCTGACTATTTTTCTAATATTTTTGAATATTCCACCTGTAGAGGGACATGCCCGACTTAAGACTAGGGGAGCGAAGAATGGCATAAACATAATGACTCGGAGGTCCGCGCGGATTGCTCGGATCCGCGCTGGACCCCCCTGGCGGCGCCTCCAACGCCGCCCCCGGCGCGCCAGTGAGGGGGGCCCAGCGCCGATCCGAGAAGTCCGCGCAGACCTCCGAGCTTTTATGCTCTATGCCATTCTTCGCTTTTGTTGAGGGATGAAAAAACGACCCTACCCTGGAATACAAGTGCGTGGTCTGTGAACCTCCTGGGAACCCCCAGAGCCTAGAGCCGCCAGGACGCGGCACATCACGCAGGGTTTACCCTGTAAGCCCACAGGAGTTTCAGAGCACAGCGCCTCGTAAACCAGGGTAGGGGCGTTTTTGATGCCCTTGATTTTGACCTTTGACATGAGCAGCCCGAGTCCTCCGAGCTCCGCGCGGCGTGGGGTGCTCTCGGCGCGGGACCCCCCCCCGCCCCCTTCCTGGCGCAGGGAGCGCGCGCCAGGGGGGCTGGCGGCCGCAGGCGCCGCCAGGGGTGAGGTCGGGCATGTCCCCCCCACAGGGCGGAGTTGGGACGAAAGCTCAAAAATGGCATCTAACAAAAACTCCCCAAATGGTCAAAAACTCCCAAAATGGTCAAAAACTCCCAAAATGGCATCTAACAAAAAGCTCAAAAATGGCATCTAACAAAAACTCCCAAAATGGTCAACAAAAACGTCCCCAGGCTAGGTTTTGATTTTTCTTCGACCATTCCTGCCGTAGGGAGACGGCCCCGACGGAACGCCAGGGGGAGGGGGGGGGGCGCGGCGCCGAGCCGAGAAGTCCGCGCGGATCTCCGAGGAATCATATCTTCGCAGGGGGCAAACTGAGCATCGTTTGACCGATCCCCATCCCCACCAGCGTGGGCTGGGCCCCACTGGCCGACTTGCCCCCCTGGATGGGGGAGATGGGCTGCTCTCTCCAGGCTTCGAGGGGCACATCCCTTACTGAGGTGGTGAGACGGCGGGGCTCGAGATGTGCATGCGGATGGGGATAGGGATCGGTAAATCGGGAGCGGCCAAGAGGGGGGTGTCCAAGAAGGGGGTGTCCAAGGGGGGGGGGTGCAGACCATGACCGGCGGCACGTGCGCGGCCCAGCGGGGGGGCCAGGGACGTAATGAAATAAGAAGAGGCCATGAAATCTGGGGAGATATCATGGCCCACGCAATGATATCCACGTATCCACACACCCCTAGTCATCACCCCCCTCTTTGCCGCCCCCGAGTATCCCCCCCCCCCTAGGAATCACCCCCCTCTTTGCCGCCCCCGAATAAAACGATACTGACAAACGAGTCGTCTTCTCTTGGTCCTGCGGCGGGCCTCAGGAGGCCAAAAACGGAGAGAGGAGAGAAAAAACACAAACATACAACAAACAACAACAAACATCACATATGTGAACACATAGTTCAATATTATTAGTATTAGTAATGATAATGATAATATTATAACTAGAGGAAATAATGACATAATAATTAATATAAAAAAAACAATCCCAAATAAGCATCACATTACTAATTATAAGATGAATAAGAATGCTAATCTATATGTCACATCGTAAGAATGTGAATGCTAATAATAAGTAAGGAATAGTACTAGGAAGAATACGACTATACACGATACACATAATAATGGTAATACGTCTTCCTCTTTACGTATATATGCGTGTGTTTCGCTGACGGAAAACATGTTTTAACACCAAAGCCATATATATATATATATATATATATATGTGTATATATAATGAAAACGACAAAAAAGAACGCGTTTCCCTCAGGACCCGCCTCCCCCATGTGC